CTATAATTCCAGACAGTATGTGGTACAAACTCTGAGCATCGCCATAGGAACACCAGAGCCTAAGTTAGAACTTGGGAAAGTACTTCCAATGACAATGTATGATACTTACTTAACCTTCTTGGCCTCTTAAAAGGGTCAGCAGATATAAGATAACATTAAACCAAACAAGAGGATTCACTTCAATATAAACTGTAAATGTGTCTCTATTTGGTAAAATTTGGTAAAATTTGGCTAAAACTAGAGCTGGTAGTTTGACACATTACTTTTGATTGATAAATTACATAGATTTTTATCACACTTAATCATATTGTTTTTAATTAAAAAATAATGATAATATTTTTTTTTTCCCCAAATAAAGTCCGGAGCCAGACTTCTTGCTACATGTTTCTTGTACATCTGTAAATCCAACCCACAAGCAACATCTGCTAACAATGGCAATGGATGACAAGTCAGCTTCTCTTGGTCAACTTAGTTATTGCTTCAAAACGATCTGAGGGGAGGCTGGAAAACACTATTATTGTGTTCAAGTTGTGGCATAAGAAATTAGCTCATCAGTGACACTTTTAAAGCCTAACAAAGCATCTCAATGCAAAACGTGGCAGCAGCACAGACATCCCCAATGCTAATGTCCATATTGCTGCAAGACGAAGTTTCATGAATGATCATTAGATCCTGAAACACTGGAATGAGTAGAACAACACTTTACTCCAATCTGATGGTTGAATGTCCTAAATAACAGATTAAAAATAATCATGTTTGCTGTTGTGCTTAAACATCACATTTAAAATGATCATATTACATGAGACAAATAAAACAGTATGTCCATAAACAGAAATGCAGGCTTAATGAAATGTATGTTTAATACCTGCTTCAAGGTTGTTATTTTCAAAGGGAACTTTTAATCTGACAAATGAGCTCAATTGGTGTAGAACTATTTATCAAATTAAAGTCAAAGCACACAGCAGTTATTAACCCAAATTTAACCCCGCTTTCCCCCCCAACACAAATAATGAAGAATGTTATAAATGTCCATTTATCCAATCATTTAGCAGAACAAAGGGTGTTTCCACTGAAAATGTTTATTCTGTATATGTATGATTTTTGATTAAAATATGATTCATTTCGATTCATCAATTACAGACCCTGCAGTGAACTGGATGGGTAAAGTTGTGATATTTAATAATAATATTACTCAAGTAAAAGTAAAAACTACAATGCAGTGCATCTACTCCTAAAAGTAAATGTATTTCTCTAAAAGTTACTCAAGTAACTAACTGAGTAAATGTAACTACCTGCTACACAAACAGCCCTGAGTGCTGCGCCAGGTTGAAAGACATGAACAGTTCCTGACTGAGTGGTATAATATGACTGATAGAAAACGAGTGACTCACCCAGTGCTGCTCTTTTATTCATTGCCTAATCAAATCCCTCCAACAAAAAACCCTGCAGTGCTCATCAGACAAACTCGTTTCTTTATCCCCTCAACTGGCTGTGACATTCAGCTGCCTCTTTTCATGATTTGAACTATCTGGGAGTGTTTATCCACTGCAGGATGCTCTCAGAAATCAGAATCCAAATGACATCGTTAACTATGTCAAAGGAAACCAGTACCTAATATAAAAGCACATAATATGATCATGAAGAAATTCAGATGGCTGTATGACGAGGAAGAATTTAGTTGACTCACTGTCAGTATGCGTCAGATAAACAAATGTAGCTGATTTGCTTACAAGATCCTTTATGCTAAAGCTAATTTTTGATGTAGATATGAGCTTTGTTTTTATGAACAATATGTAGTGTCTGTAAATGTGTCATTATTTACATATTCCAAATGACTAACCGCCTGAATTTATTTACAGTTAAAAGTATGTTAGTATGTTTACTGCTAAAGAGACGCTGACTTACAAAGAGTATTAGTCTGAATGTAGCACATACAAATGTAGGCATTCTGCATTCCCATTAGAAAAAAATTGAAATCATTGGGATCAATTCTGTTCACAAGATGGCAGTTCTATTACAAAATGTTGTGTGTGTAGAATATCGGCATACGTTGAAAACATATTCCAAATTGCCTCAAAATGTCTTCTGGTCTGATTGTAGCCAGATTCGGTACAATAAAGTTGATTTGGATGTGTTACAGACAAACCTTAGTGCATTTTTGGGAAATTTTATACTACAGACCAATAAAAAGTGGAACATATTTATGTCCAGAGTCTTTGTCCTGCTGGAAGGTGAACCCCCAACCCAGTCTTAAAGCAGCAGTAACACGTAAAATTAACTTACTTTAGCTTTACATCATGTTATAATCTTATTCCCTCATCAAAAACATAACTGGAGTGTTGCTTTAATTCTTTCATACATCTTTGAGAACTACTTTAGTCTCCATGGCAACCATTCTGCTGTTCAAAAAGCCTGGGTGGCTTTGAGACGAAGCGTCTCCTCAGAGTTGCTTCACAGTTCAGCTCCTCCGTTCAGCTCCTTCAGACTAGCCAGCAGCAATTAGCAAATGTGCAACTGCTGAGCTCATTATAAGAGCTACTTCTCAGTGAAAGACTTGAAAAAGTTTGTTTTTAAACAGTGATATTGTGATGACTTCCTGACAGCGTTTTTTTTTTTTTTTTTTGTGAAGCAGAGGCTCAATTTCAAGGTGTTAAATATCAAAGTCAAATTTCTTTTAAGTCACATTTGACAAAAAACAGCATTTTATAACAACTGAAGTTAACTTTCCCGATTGTGCTACAAAATGGTGCCTAGTTCCTGGGAAAAAGATAAAATAATAATGCCCCTTTGAGTGCTACAAGAGTTGTTAAAAAAGTTATATTGGAACTATAACTAATTAATTAATGGCCAGACAGTCCAGACCAAAAAGGACGTTGACTTTTATATTTCAGCACAGATTAAGTGCACATAATCTTTTTTTTTTTTTTTTTTTATTCGCTGTGTATATGTGAGAAAACACTTTGTCCTTGACAGATCCTTCAGCTTGAGGGTAATATGAGCAGGCACTTTGATGTGCGGTCCACACAAACACCAGATTTTACAGATTACATTCAGGCCCCGTGTAGCTCTGCTCCTCACCATATCTCATACATCTGACACCCTGCAACTGAAACTCAAGAGCAGAGCCTCTGGCAAAAATGTCCCTTTCATTTAAGTTCTGTCTGCTGGCATTAAAATTGACAGGGTCTGCAGCGTCCAGCTCCATTCAGGCATTTGTAATTCAATGATCTGTTGTGTCATTTCAAACATTTTATATGGAACAATTTCACCTTTATTGACTCTGTATGCCACAGTTTGTTATATATCAGATTCCATAATTTTGAGCTTGGCATTATAACTCATATGCTAATATGGCTTTCAGAGGTTGGAAACTCAATGCATTTACAGCCTTAAAATTAACAGAATTGAACAAAATTGACCTTGAAGTATGTTCCAACTAGCTAATGCAGTTAGACTCCAGTTCTGCAGTATGGTGAATGGTTATATCATTGACTTCTTGAACAAAGTAGATCTGCTCTATTTTAAAACCTGAACACTTAATCTAGACTGAATTAAATACAGATACTTTGACACCTCCATTCTGTTTTTTGAAAGAAGTGAAATGTCATTTTTATTAAATTAGAACAGGTTAAACTATATAAGAGCTCTTGTGCAGAAGTTATTAAGGAGGGAAGAGGAATGAAACTCAGGTGTTTTCAATATCAGTGAAACCTGAAGAGTAAGTGTCAAAACTATACTAACAAACCCTGCATAATAAGAAAGTAAGAAAGCTATAATGACAAAATTGCCAGACCAGCTACACTCGGCCACAGAATAGAATGAGGTAACGAGTTAAAGGACATTCTGAGCAGAGCTGCTGATTTTCCTTCACCTTTGTAGACGTTTGATGTAAATGTGTCTCAGTCAACCAAGACTGTACGTATCCCACCAATGCCAGATTACACAAATCCGACACATTCCAAGATAATGTTGGAAGCACTCTGCTGCCATCTAGCAGTGGGACCTTCAACTAATTCTGCTAAATTTGCAAGCAAAATATTTAAATATACATTTACAGACCCAACTAATAAGTACATACACTAGAGAAAAAAAGTTTTAGGAACGTTATCACTAAGTGAAACACATTACATAGATTAACTACGCACAGACGAGAGTATGAAAGCCTGCATTTCTGTTAATTATCATAACTTTCCATTTAGTTACTGAAAACATCACATTTGTCTCATATTACATGAGACAAATAAAACAGTATGTCCATAAACAGAAATGCAGGCTTAATGAAATGTATGTTTAATACCTGCTTAAAGGTTGTTATTTTCAAAGGGAACTTTTAATCTGACAAATGAACTCAATTTGTGTAGAACTATTTATTGAATTAAAGTCAAAGCACACAGCAGTTATTAACCCAAATTTAACCCCGCTTTCCCCGTAACACAAATAATGAAGAATGTTACATATATTTTGCAAACAAAGTCTCAACTAGCTTATAAATTTCAGAGTTATGACCAATGACTTGTGTGCTGGCCCACATTGACTGTGAGCCAACACACTCTATCCATCAGGACCTTAGAGGAAACATACCATTCAATTAAAGTCATAAAGGTGCAGATTCTTTACATTTTGTTATAATGAACCTATAAAATCTCATTTCTTCAGAGCAAATACCTTCAAACTCACTGAAGCCACCTCCTTCTTGATACATTCATATGAGAATATGATTTCCCATGCCACCAAATCAGAGAGACACAACAGCAGGAGATGTAAGGAGATGATGAATGATTTCATCAGTCAGTACTGAGCTCTCAAATCACTGAATCTGCTCTGCCACAGACCCTTGAGCCTGACGCAAGTGGCTGGGCTGAGATAAGGGAATACCAACAGAGCCACATGCTGACAGACACTACAAGCACATTATGCATTTTGTGGTGATGATCAAATATGTTTGGTTTGTCTCCTGTTGAGGACATGAAACAAGACATTGATGTAAGGGCAAAAATCACCTCATGCATTTGCAGGTTGGTGTTTGGAACCCTCATCTTGGCTTCAAGAAGATTGATGGGATTAGCCGTGTAGCTTTTCAAACTGCGACTTTCCTTCAGGTGGGCCTGGAGCTTCTCCCTGCGCCTCCTATAGGATGATAAAACAAAGAAACAAAAGAATGGAGAAAGGACCATAAAAATCATCTGATTTTGATTGCAGGCCACAAGTTGCTGATACAAGTATGACAAATCGAAACTATCATCCAGGAGCCGATTGCAGCTTCCTACTGCTGTTGATGCACCTGTACAATCAGAAAGACACACCATCAAATTAGTTTCCACTCGAGATCTGAATGAAGGACTGACCAAGACCTCTGGAGCGATGCTGGAGTAAAGCTTAATCCAGTCCAGAACTGGGGTTGGATTTATTAAAACTTCACATAAAGAGGAAGAAAAAATATTTATTTCAACAACATTAAAATTACTGCAGGTTTTTGAGAAAAATATGTAAGTTTTACCTTTTTTTTTATATACATTTTCTATAAAAAAGGTAAAAATGAAGCAGGACTGGACCATCAAAATCAAACAATAATCCAAAACATACCTGTTCTTCTGCTAAAGTCTGACTGAGAATTAAGAAAAATTAATTCTTCATAATTTTCTTAGACATCTATTGTGATTTGATTCGAATTTTTGATTGTAGACCTGGTTTCAGGAAAAGAGGTTATGGACAATTGGCCAAAGGTTTCTGGACATTTTCTTACACCCTTATGCCATTGGGGTTGTGAGGGGCGCTTGTATTTCCAGCTGTCAGCAGGGGTGAGTGAGGTCACCCCTTTGCCAGTCCATCACAGGGCAACACAGACATAGACAGGACAAATAATAACACACACTCAGGAGAATTTAGAGACCAATTAACACAACAGTCATGTTTTGGTCTGTGGGAGGAAGCTGGAGTACCCACAGAGAACCCATGCATGCACAGGGACTCCAAACTCCATGCAGAAAGACCCCAGGCCAGGATTTGAACCTAGAACCTTCTTGCTGCAAGACAACACTTCTACCACTGTGCAGCTTGATTATTATTTTTATTATTCCCTGCATTCAAAATCAGTAAAAAAGTTGACATTCAAAGACTTTAAAGACTCTTTCCTGATAGCTGAAGCCATCCAAGTTCATTTCTAGAAAAACATGTTCAGCTTCACTCCTCTTCTGCTGAGTTAGTTTTTTAGTTCACATACAAAATGCTGCTTTAATACTGGTTGAAAAGGCAAAAAGCTGTGACTTCCTTTCACCTAACTGAGGTTTTAAAATGGATTTAATTCAAAGGATAAAGCTTTTTCCTTCAACTATTATCCACTTAGACTTTAAACAATAGAGTCAGATGAGAATTGTGTCAGGTATCCCTGATGATGAGACACAGGAAGATTTGTTTCCTCAGAAACGCTCTGCACAGAGCGCACACTTCTTCATGAATTTCCCCCCAAGCATTAATTAAAAGAAATGCAAGAGAACGAGTGTTTGAGTTCATGTGATGCAACTTGACTTTGGTTGATAATTTACATTACAATCTATTGAGTCAGGGCCATTTCTAAGACGTTATTTAATTAGAATCATTCAGTCAAAATCCTCTCTCACGTTACAGGCAAACACGCCAAAAGACTAAAGTTGCCGACTGACAAACTGATTAGTTTGACCTCAACCTTGCGAAGGCGCAGCGCTGACCCTCATAATGAAAAGTCAAGAGATAATCGTGTTAGAGGAAGTGGAATAATTAGACGTCGTGGCGCGGAGGGGTGTAATCTGATTTCTTCTATTCATCTGAAAAAGGTTCTTCTGGTTTGCTGCTCCAACCAGTGCACTTTACATGCTCTTAATTATTGTGACCGGCTGCCTAAGCTTGTGCAATTACAGTGTCCTGGAGGAAAATGCACAGAAGCCCTCTGTATCACGACTTCATTATGTTGTGCCAGAGGTATGCTCATTATCAGATTCAGCTGATAAAGCCTCTATTGCCACTGTCTGGGAGACTCTCTGCTGTGTGACAGCAGTGTAATGAAGTGTTTGCAAACAGCCTCATGGCAAGCTCCTGAGCTTTCCACCTCTGTGGCACTTTAATTATATCATGTCAGATGGATGCTGAACCATATGGAACACACTATGGAACTTTTGGAAAAAAAATGTCACTGAAACAAGAAGCCATAAAGCCTTTCTAAAGCTCAGCATAAACAAACCAAATGTCTCCAAATGCAAAATACAAGTTTGTGACGGATTCATAAATTAGTCTAATTAATAGGTGATTAATGTTTCCTTCTATAAAACAACAAAAAGGTGCCAACCAATGTTTCTCTTTAAGTTAGGTATTTGAAAAATGCTGAAATTAATTTAGTCTGATAAGCAAACCAGAAATGTTGGATTTCAGGTTTTCTGTTGCTACAAAGCTTCTAAGTTTTTAATTTGGATTCCATGTAATAAATCAACACAAGACAGTGTATGAATTGGCAGGTAGGTTTGGATTATGTGTGTATGGTGATGAAAGGTGTATAATATACACTACTTCTCTGACACAGGATGGCTATGAAAATTCAATGTTTCATACATAGTTTTTATATTGTCACCTTTGTAATGGCCAAAGGTCACTATTTGACAAAACTCATTAAAAAAAAATAAATCTTTTATGACCAAATAAACAAATAAAAACACAATATTGGCAAAAAATAATTTAGGCCATTATTAGAGGAAGGTATCAGAATTTTCATGAGTGTTATTCCTAACCCTTTCAACAATGACTCAACTTTTCCATCAACATCAGCTGCTTCTCTAGGGGCCTGTCTCATTTTCTCTAATTTTGCCATTGCTCAGCATCTCAGTCTACATATCTTGGAAGATTTGCAGTTCCACCATATTCTTTCCATAATGGATTTAACAATAACATTAATTATTCAAACCATGAATTATGTTTTACAACCTAACTTGTTTTCAATTTCTTCAAAATTTTCACCCTGACTTCTCTGCTGTGTATCTTCATCTTTGTGATTTTGTTTGTTTGCTAACAGCAAACCTCTGAGTCCTTCACAGAACAGCTGGACTTATACTGAGGATAACTCACATATACTCACAGATACCCACCTACATATACTGTAGAGGGTCTCAGTATATATTTAAACTACTCAACAGACTCACTGTTGAGTATATATATATATATATATATATATATATATATATATATATATATATATATATATATATATCCATTATGCTAAGAAAACACATGAAAAAGCTATCATTTGATCCTTGCAGTTAAGTGGTGCTAATTATGCCTCTTATCCTGTTATTTAATCTTGGGGCCATTTTGTGGCACGATGTCTTATCTAGAAGAGTTAATAAAGAAAAGAGATGCTGAGATAGAGTGCAGGTCCTGGGGCAGACATGAATCAGGACTTATGAAGTGAATCCTGCTGATTAAAGTTCTCATATGAATAAAAAAGGATGAAGAGATGTGAAACTGTCTGCATCACACATGGAACCAGAACGAACCTTTTAAATGACGGATGGTTGTTGTGGAGGTTCTGTGTCGATTATCAAGCTGGAGTTCATCACTGATTGACTTTTATTGAATTCTTTTAGTTTTCCATTTGGCCTCATGCTTCTGTTTCTGACATCCACGTTTTGCAATAATCTATGTGGTTCTGTTTGTAAAGCATTAAACATAATTATAGTTCACACTTGTGGTGACTGGTTTATTAATACTCTTAATGTTTAAATGAATGCAAAATAAACTGTCAATAAAAGATATGGTGGAATGAAGCACATAGCTGGACTGTATGAACATTGCATTTTACTTGTTAGAGGAGTGTGTATGAGGTTATAGTTAAAGAGAAGATTTGTCTGGTTAATTTAATTTTTGCCACTTTTTAATTTTAAGCTGCACATAGAAAATGTTTCAATTGCAGTTTTAAAAAGTTCAGCAAACTACATGAAGACTGATGTGAGATAACACTGAAGCATGGATGGCAGCTCCACAGTCGAGTGTTAAACTCATTGTGCGTCTGCTGGCAAAGACACAAAAGGAATGAAAATTAGTCCGTCTCTGAATGCATGCACACTGCAAATTAAGGGGCACAGGCGAAGGCACGAACTGAAGAGTAAGCTGTCTTTTATTCAGCAGTATTTGTGTCAGAATCTTTTCTTGTTTGTGTGAATAATAACAAAAAAGAAACGTTGACTTCATCGTCTTTCAGGTCCCTTGGATTGGCTTCCCCGGCCCCTCCTCCTGTAGATCTGCATGCATCTTCTCGACTGAACAGTCAACTTCCCAGACTCAATTATAGATTCATTGAGAGTGCCTGTCCATCATGTCTTGATCCGATTATCTTGTTGTCAGGCTGCTCACTCACTCACATCATTATATTACAGTGGAAAACCTATGGAATTACAGTTCTATCTATCAGCCTGCTCCACACTATTTATAACAGACTGGTATTATGCAACATGTTTAACTCATCTTGCTGAGTTTTCCACAATCACATATATAGGAAAGACTATTCAAATAGTAATAATTATGTGAATAACATAAATTTAGCCAAAAAGACCATAACTTTTAGGTTACAAAAAGCTCTTAGTATGTATGTGTACTAATTACCTTTGTGGTTTTTGATGTTTCCAGACAGCAGTTTAAGTTAAACGTGTTAAACTTCACGGTGCTCCCACACATTAAACCTCCTTTCATAACTGCAGCCAAGTGGCTCACAGCCGTTTGGTCTACCCACAAACACAAGAACTCTTCTTAAATTAACTGTGGGACATTTCTTTCTCAAACATCAGGAATGTAAGTTTCGGTAAATTTGTGTGATTAAAAAAATGTTTTGTATTATGTGCGTATTGTGATGAAAGTTGTAAGAAAGAGGAGAATTCAGCTTCTATGCACCACAAAGCTGGAACAAACTTCCATAAAACTGCAAAACGGCTAAAACACTGAGTTAATTTACATCAAGACTAAAAACCCAGCTGTTTAGAGCTGCTGTTGAACCACCATAAATTGAACATTGACCAATGTTCAATTGTAGTGATGATCTTGATGATGGCGCTGGTCAAAATGTGACGTTTGTCACTGGTTTCTCAACCAGTGATGTGTTTATGGCTTCTTATTCTTGAGTTTTCATGATGAAAACTACTTTGAACTGCCTTGTTGTTGACATGTGCTGTGCAAATAAACTTGATTGTTTGACTGATTGATTGACTCATTGATTGACTGATTTATTGATTGGTGGATTGTTTGAATATGCAATATTTCTTTTCCCCAAGATGGGTATAAAAGCTCAATGTTTTATGCAGAGTCTACAGAGGCTTAGCAGGATATAATGTTATGCTAGTTTGAGGTGAAGCGATGCCACAACCCTAGAGTTGCATTAATCAAACTCAGGTTGTCTTGTTGAAATTCCTGGGAGGAAAAATATCAGCTGTTGTCAACAAAACAACAGGATAGATTGCAACACCCTGAACATCATCACTGGGGGAGTGAGTCACACTAATGAAGATTATGCAACACTGATGAAATGTTTTGTGAATTTTCAGTTCATACAAGCAGGCTTTTTTTTTAAAGGAAAAAGAATGAAACATTTCTATATGTTACAAAAGTTATTCTTGAATAAAATGATTTTCAGAAAAGTGAAACTTTTAGTTCAGCTTGTTCTGAATGTGAATTAAATTGATTAGATGTCAAACATTGAGCATTTAGTTTTTTAAATGCTCAATGTAAATATCGATTACTTTAAGTAAAGACATTACTTTAAGTTAATCAAAGTAATGTCTTTGAAAACATCTTTACATTCTAAAGTAACAATGCATTTCAACAGTATAAGAATTCACTCAACGATGACACAGTGTCTTGTATCTGTTTTTCTTCACATCATTTGTTTTGTCCCAATGGGAGGTTTTCAAACACAATGGCTGGAATGTAGCTTTAAATTATTCGTGGAAATTTTGAACATATATGGACTTTTTTGTAGAGCATTTCTAAAATGTTAAAAAAACAAAATGCAACTTGGGCAGCTGAAATACCAAGACTACTTAACACATTAATGCAAAGTACCCAATCCATGAGCTCCATTCATTTTTCTTGTTTGATTGGCTGTACCTGGAAGGGGTGGGCGACTCCAGGCCTTGAGGGCCAGTATCCTGCAACTTTTAGATGCATCTCTATTTCAACACACCTGAGTCATTAGATGTGTTAATGACTCAGGTGATTAATATCTGAGTTATTAACATTCAGAAGAACTTGAGTGCACTTAGGAAGTGATTCAGCTATTGGATTAAAGTGTGCTTGACCAGGGAGACATGTGAGAGTTGCAGGGAACCGGCCCTAAGGGACCAGAATTGCCCACTTCTGCTCCAGAGCATAGATAAGGAAAGACCATGGAGGTTAGCTTCTGCTGTAAGGCTAAAATGGCTTCCATTGTACACATTATTGCACACAAAGGTGTTTAAACCATAATAATACGCAGCTCAGAACATTTTTGAAGGCGTCAAAAGTGTTTGCAGATTTCAGTAATTTGTTGTGTCAACTTCCATGAAAACTGGAGGTTAGCATCAAAACCCTTTTATAGCTGAGTTTCTGCTGTTCCTAATCAATTCTACTTTCTTATGCTACAACTAATATGAGGGAATTTCGTAGCTGGACCTATTGCATCTTTTCATGGTTCCATGCTGAAATCCTCTCCCCTCAGGGCAGCAGCCCAATCTTTCACCAACATTTGTAGAAACAGTCTACGAGACCAGGTTTTAAATTTTCTATTATTGTAGTGATGCAAACACCAGTTTCAACTGGTTTCAGAGCAATAGAGGTGGGAAAATTTAACCAAAATATTGACAATATCAATACTAACTCAGCATCAGTATCAGATCCATATTAGTGTGGTAAGAACAATTACTGTAGTTTCAGATTCTGTCTCAAAATTTTTACTTATATCTGTATTGTAGTTTCTAACTCAAGGAGATTTTGTTTTGATTTGCTGTCACATAATATTTTTTCCACTTCATAAAGGAAAAATCCACACAGATCATGTTAAAGTTATTAAGATATTTTGTAAACACCTAAAAACTTTGTCCAAATTTTGTCCAAAATAACTAAAAGCAAAAGACTAAAAGCAAAAGACAAAAAAACAAATCAAAGTCAGAAGTTTGAAGATATATTAAACTTAAAAAGTATCAGTATTGGTGATACTGGCCCTGTAGTTACAGGGTATCAGATCAGCAGCTCAGCAGCTCTCTTTCCTCTCTTTATCTGTTAATGCCGGAGCAATTCATGGTTTGTGGTTGTAAACATCTCAGAGGGTAAACTGAAAATTGATTGTGAAAATAGTGTGAAAAAGCCATGCATCATGCATCTTGCTGTGGTGAGTTTTGTCAGGGAGTCGTGATAATGATTGTTTGAAAATGGCAGAATCGGGCCAGACGTTGCTTCAAATCACAGCCTTCCCATTTTAAATATTATGCATCTAATATTGTAAAACAAGCAATTTAGAGAAACTGTGATGGCCAAATCCATGGCCACACCCTGATGTCAACAAGAAGTGCTAATTGGATTACACCAATAGTTCCTGCAGGCAGGGGGATATAGTAGTTTGTTTGGATAAGTTTTGTATTTAAGAAAATATTAGTATTTGAAGTTTGTTTTTGATTTTCATTTTTGGATCTTTAGTTTAGCCAAACTTAGCTGTATTATTCGTTTTGTGTTATTTGTATTTGTTTAGTTACCCCTATTGTGTCATGGTCTGATCAGCCAGTATATAAACCCCTGTGTGTCATTTCTTTGTTAGGTCAGTTATGTTTGTTGTGCAGTTAGTTTGTTTACACTTTTGCCTGAGTTCAGTTTTGTTCCTTTGACCTCTTTTATGAGCTCAGTTTATTTTTTTGTCATTTATGATTTTGGGTTAAAATAAAAACCCTATTTTTCTAAATACATCTTGTGACTCCTCCTGTTTTAACTCGGTCCATCACAGAAACAAATATGGAAACAACCTGATAGGGACTGGAGAGTTTCTGGTTTTGTTGTTGATGTAATTTTTATGCATTCCCAGATCTTACCAATAAACCTGAGCTGCTGGGGTTTTACTATAACAAGGACAGAAATACGGTTGTTTGTGTAAGACCCAGAGGATGAACAAAAGCCCGCTCCCAATCCGTCCCTCCACTGAATTTACCTTAGAAATATTTTATAGTGTGTGTGTGTTTATTGTCATACTTGTTGCGGCAGTAGAGTGCCATGCACATTGTTCCCAGAAGACTGATTGCCATGGCGATGGACGTGATTGACAGCACCTGTCTCTTGTACACAGCTTTGCTCTCTGTGGAGAAACAAAAACAGAAGAAGAAGAAGACGCCATATTAATGTTTGAACAGCATGCTCTCGGGAAATATGTTGTACATATTTGCCTGCATATGTGTTTCAGACACAAAAGAAAAAAAAAAGAGGAAGGACGAAAGGAAATGTGTTTTGTCCTCTCAGAGTAAATCTGCCATTCACAGGAGATGTGTTCGTGCTGAACCAATATGCCATTCACAGGATTAAACATGGTTTTTGAGAGTCACTCTTATCCGCTTTTAATTTCTAATGTGTTTCGCTAGCAGCACCCAAACAGCTATTTAAATCATCAAACAAGCAGTTATTGAACAAACAGCTCTCTGGAGCTTTTTACTCTCCTCAATTCCTCTTTTTTCCCCCCAATCTGCCTCAATTCTTTTCAAGAGTAATTACTTCTGTGATAAACAAACAAAATGCAATGGACATAAAATAACTCAATTTGTACAAAAAAATCCAGAACATATTTACAGCTTCCTTCCCCGCTACATGAGGTACTCCCGAGTTACGGTTTCAGCCCCTTCGGCTCATTTTATCAGCTCTGCCACGTCGAGTAATGGTCCGATAGACACCAGACATTGCTTTTGAAATGGATGCCACATGTAATGGAGCCTGAACACTTGGAAACAAGAAGAGTTATGGTGCGGAGGGACACCATTAGTGGAGAAAAATGGAAGCTGTCTTGTTTGTTCCGAACAAGTAAATCACGGTTGCCTTCGGAAACATTAACAGGCAATCAGTCAAGGTTTATTTTTGCAGCGTTCGAGCCTTGGGAAGCTGTAAAAACGATGGGCGTAAAGGATTTTACGTTGAGAAGGGTTTTTCTGAAGGATTTTATTGGTTGAGCAAAAGTATAATAATTACTGCCACAAGCCGCTCAATATAACATCATTACTATGCGGTTTGGAAAAGTTTGGGAAGGCATGGAATTTGATTTTAGAGCTTTTTGGGTCTGGATAAGTATGGAAGTAGATAAAATCATTGTGTTTATGTCAATAACATACTTTTGTTTCCAAACTTGTTTCTTAGTCTCTTTCCTCTTCTTGTGCAGTTCTTCCTTTATACATTGTTTCCTTCTTCTTTTCTTTCTTTCTTTCCTTCCTTCCTTAACATATTTAACATTTTAAAATGACACTAGAAGAGAAAGAAGTGCAGACGATCAAGTCTGACACGTTTTCGGTGAAACATCTGGAGGAAACCTGAGAGAGTCCAGAGCAGCAGCGCAGCTCCACTGCATCCTGCTGCTGTGTCCATATTGCTCTGCAGGATCCTGGCATCGTCTCAGCTGACGCAACTCACTACTTCCTGACCTCATCAAGATATTCCTGAACTTATCGTGAGATATCTTTTTCGATATCTCAGCCAAAGAGAAACATCCAGCTACTCTGCTCCACACAGATATAATCCATCAGACACACATGGCTTTCGATCCTTTATCTCCTCTAAAACAACAGATGCTGCAGAATTTCTCGGAGTCATACCGTACAACGATTCCCTCCATCTTTCTCCACTTATGTCTCAATGACATTTCAGGCCAGCATTATCCCAACGCTGCTAATCAAACTGCAGCATCACACCGACTCAAAGACTGTAATTACTGTACGTAATTAGAGGAAGATGTGAACAGTCCTGAAGAGACACACTGAGAGGGCAGACACACACTCAGACACACACTCAGAGCAGCACTGGAAGAGAGAGACGGTTGGGGGAGATGTGGCACTGAGAGATGAGGATAGATAAAGTAACGAGGTGGATTGATGAGCCAAGACATTTCACAGATGAACCCAGCCCATTTTTCTCTTCTGATAGATTTGAGGCATTGTCTGACACGGTTTTCCACTTTAGCTATTTTAAAAATTGCCTATATAGCAAAGAGATTTTCATTACCCATTATTAGGGTACATAAAGATTTTAAGCTATTTGTGTCCTAAATGGTTTGGTGATATTGAAAGGAAATTAGTATAAAAGTTAAAGGCAGGACAACAAGGAGCAGCACTGAGCCTTTGGACGCTTTTCAGAAAGCGGCCTATTCCATTCCACCAAGATGGACGTCAGAACAGTTGGTCGCCTAATATCGCTTTTATTTGGTTGATTTCACAGTAAAAGCGGTGATAGGATCATGGGGTCGACTGCACAAACAGGTGAGGAAACAGACAGAGGTGAATAACAGCTGTTAATCGTGAAGACTGGAAGACCTCAGAGAATTGCGAATTTGCAGCAAACACGTTTTATTAGGTAAAAAGACTGACATTCATATACTTCTGAAGTAAGGAAAGTTAGTAGTATGTAATCAAGTATTGAATTATGGAGAATATACACCTTAGTAAGCATAGAGCAAATGCCCTGCCATCACATAGCGTACCATGTATGAACAAAGCTGGTTAGCATCGAGACTTTTGTACTTTTAAGTCTGCTCTGGTGAAAGAGAAAACTGCTTATGACATAGTGATAGGAATCATATGGTGTGAATTCAGGCAAAGTCTAATTTTATTTGATCAAATCAACGAACGCATCAAGATGGAGGAGGTGTGGATTGGTTTTCCAGTTAGCTAGCACGTTATCACCATTGCCACGGCCAAGCTTAGTGAGCCACTGCCACAGAGAAATTAGCTCAACTTGAACAAGCAGATGCCATGGTCATACTAGCGACAACAACTTAGGAAAACAATAAGTGGTCCAACCAATACTCCTGTCCCTCACTTCTAATGTCCATCATGGCACCTCAACATGATTAGTTGCAAAAGGTCAAGATGACAGCAGAGAGCAGTACATTTTATGATTCTATAAATATTTTGAGGTCTAGCTTTTTGGTGCTCTGTTCATAAGAAGTTTAAAGTGAATCCTAAAATCTACTGGTAGCCAATGTAACAAGTATAAAATAGAGCTCATGTGAGCTATCATGTGAGAACATGTCAAACCTACAGCTTAGGTACTTTGCAAGACTTGGTGCTAAGAAAAGGACAGTTTATCTAAACCAGTAAAGGGGGGAAATAATCATGATTTCAGTATTCCTTTTCTTAAAAAAATTCTTCTAGATAGCTTCATAAAGAAATTGCAATCTCCATAAAATCATTTCTAAACACTTCACTGAACAGAACACAGCACAAGCCAGAAACCAAAGATCAAAAACAGGCCACAGAATTCTGAACAGAGATAAAATACATTTAATTTTCATCCTCCATACCCACAAATTGTGTCTATCCTATACTGAGCCTCAGTGCTAAACCCCAGACACATAAAGTGGGGGAGCATACTGCGTTCATAACTCAGTAATGGCTGTTCTTGCTTGGTTTCTCTTGCAGGTTTGGTGTAAAGGCCAATTAGTGGCAAAAGCTACACCTGCACCAGCTGTGTTCCTCCACCTCTCTGTCTTTGTGTCCATCTCCTTGTCCTCTCTGAGCTGAGAACCAATCTACCCATGAAGGCAGGTTTACCTCATGCCTGTCCACACGACACTACCACGTAACTCAATCTGCTCACTGGAGCCAAGTCCAATCTCTTGGAAATGATGTACAAGTGGATGTGTGAGTATGATTTACAATTGTTTGTAAATAAGTGCAAAAAAAAAAAAATCTGTCAGGAAAACTTTTTCTGTAAGATTAAAAAAATAAAAAAAAAACATTTTGGAGGGACTTGTTACAGGAGAAGTCCTAATGCTTATCAAATTGCATTTGAACTGAAATCTCCCCATTTGCTTGTATTATCAACAAAAGGTGGCCTGAAATATTCACTTCAGCAGAAACAAATACAAACTGAAAACTGAAAACCTTATTTTTCCTCCTTAATAAATACAAAACAGTTTCATGTTTTTCTATGGCAGCTTTAACAGCAAAGGCTTGATTTAGACTGAGTCCTGTTGGCTGAGATCGATTGATGGATTACATATTTATCGGTGAAGAAACAATCTATCTAACATGTGATATTGAGTTGTATGAAACAACTTTAAATGTAAATCCATTCACACTTGCATGGCACCTCTAGTTGCTGTGCAACAAGCAGCCATCTCCAAGGTGTTATTCTTAGCCTTAGCTTGTGTTTTAGGAATTGTCTATTCTTTATTTAATAAGATTTCTTACTTTCTCACTGGGTTAATTATCAAAGTGCCTTTTAACTTGACACATCATATCAAGACAACAAATTTTCATGTATTTTCCTTGGAAGTTTACACACAGGGTAGAACATAATTATGAAGCGAAATTGAAATGCTACATGATTTTTGATTTCTTTTATTTTTATTTTTTCTTTTACAAATAAAACTGAAAAATGTGGCCTCACTTATTAACTAGATACCAGTCGTTAACAATATGGAACCAACTTACACTTGTACTACAGTTACAGGTCTTTGGGAGTCGGGCTCTTTGAAGATTTGGAAACTATTTATCTTTACAAACCAGCTCACACTCAGTCACTTCAAATTTAGGTCTGAACTTTTACAGAGCAAACTAGTACAAAAGCATGGATTCTATCAGGCATGGGCACCGCTGACTAAAAATGGACAATTCCAATCCATTTTTACTCTAGACTGGAATAGAAGTATAATTTATAGAAGGTTATTTGTAGACAAGGTTCTGATAAAAAATTTGGAGGACAATTTTTGAACTAAAGAAAGAGTACTTTCCAATTTTGATAGAAAATTGAAAAAAAAAAAACAATTTTGCCATTGCTTAGAGTGAGAAATTACTTTTGACACAAAAAGGTGATGGCAAAAAGAGATTTTCAGGTTGTGGAATTGGATTGAAAATGTTCTGTTTTTTTTTTTTTTTTTTGCATTACCCTAACTCTAATTCTGAACATATTTGGACGATTCACAATTAATAACTTCATTTCATCCATCCAGAGTAAATTTAAATTAGTTGGTAAAAGTTCCCTAAATGCGGGACGGAGTGACTGAGCTCTTACCCGTATTGTGACTCAGTGTGAGGTTAATGATGTGAAGGTCAGCCAGCGCTTAAAGCCTCCCTCTTGTTTGCACACACCTACTGCTGT